AGCTCTCAGGTAAAAAAAATCCAGATGATAAGTTTGAAGTAATTATGAAGCTACAGTTTTGTTAATATCCATATGAAACTCTTGCCCATACTATGTTAATCTAATAACAGAATATATCAAAGTGTTTAATTGAATCACATGATCAAAAAAAGGTTCAAATTGGTTTAAAAGACGATGGTGTAATTGGATAAATTTAAAATTCCTTATATAATGAAAAAAATCATGTTCCTCTTACAGAGTGAATATAACATTTAAAGGAAATATGTAGAGATAAAATCCGTAATTTTCTCTATTCTTTCATTTCCCTTTCCATCCTGAAAGGAGTCACTGATTGCTAGTTATTCAATATCATTTTAGTTAATTTATTTATACATCTACTGATTAAGCTAGTTAAGGAGTGTTTTTATCTTTAATGAGGCAAATTTGTGTGCAAGATTTTTATGACTAGACAGTACTATAAAAGAAGCAACCTACTTCCATCCCTGATGGGGAACTTCTTTGTATTATTACTTTAAAAACAGTTTATTAAAAATAGTTTAATCAATTTTTTCTTGAATATATTCAGGAAAGGGGGAGAAAGAAGAAATCCCCAATTCACTATGTAATGGTTTAACTTTATCAAAATAATGCCCTAGATAAAAATGAACAGACATTCAGTGCATATTTGGTCACAAGAGTAATATTTTTGTGTGGGATGATATTCAGGAAAATTCACTTTATCCAGACGACACAGATAATGTTTAGGTTCCTGTACAAACTTTGCTTTTAGGTCCATTCATAAAGCATTGGAAATCTTTTATTCTCTAACTTCAAGGCTAGCTAAAAATAATTCAACAATAGCTTTATTATTCTAGGTGAATTTTGGCATGTCAAATTACAGCCTTGTGCAGAACCAGGAAACACACTGAAAAAAATTGGGGAGAACAATGTCTAACTACCTTGTGAGGTGTTTAAAGTAATTTTTTCATGTTTTGTAATTTTTTAATTCAGATCCATTACTGTTGGTTGTGGAATCATATCTGTCTTCTTTAGTAACATGAGATGAACCAACTGGGTACTCAAATCAAATTGTCTCAAATATTCTTTGTTACCTTGAGAGGGACAGATATGGGACAGTTCTGGATGCAAAAACAGATTCATCTGAAAGACGGGTGAATTTAAAAAAATCTCAGAAATTACAAAAAAACCCCACAACCAAAACATATTTTTATATAAATTTGCATATCATGGATATTGTATATTTATATCATAAATATATAAGATTGACATGAATCTAGAATTAAAAATACAGTTGCCTGAAGTTTTAGGATTTTTTGTATGTAAGAAACAGTGTTAATAAATTCCTTTCTAAACAAATCTGAATGAAAAAGTTTGTGCTTTTATTATTATTACGAGAAGGGTTTATGTTAGCAGGGATTTGTTTATCTGATTTTGCTAGCCTGTAGAAGGTAAGAGGAAGAATATTGTGGTATGCAGTTCCTTAGGTCATTATGTTCTTCGTTACCCTGCCTTGCCTCCCCTGACCTCCCATTGATTGCCAGCTTTTCTCCCCTCCCTGGTATATGCTGCTACCAGACTACAGGGTGGCTCAGAGCTGAGTGGGAAACACTCTTCATCTTCTTACAGCTCCAAGCTTTGCAGGATTCAATCTTCCGAAGACTGTATTTAACATAATATTTTATCTGGAGTGGTTGTTTCCAGAGAAGAAATTTATACTGAGGTCACCACCACTGCCTAAAAACCCTTTAACAGCAGAAAAGCTTAAAAAGGAGTGTTTTTACCCCTGCAACAGGATTAAGTAATTGATTACAAAATTGGAAGTGAAATAACAAAAAACATTAAGTGCAGAACAGGATACTGCACAGGATACTACAGGATTGGAAACTAATCCCTCTTTCCTCATCTACGTTTCTCTGCTTAATTCTTTGCCTGTCCCATAGGGATTTTATATGAAAAACCTTTGAGAAATTAACTTCTCCTTCAATTTTTATCCTGTGCTTCTATCTTATGCATTTCTAGTTACTATTCAGTGTAATAAACAGATATTTCTGATGAGATCTCAAGATACTTGTGACTCTCTAAAGTTGCTCATTTCAGTACAGCCATGCTCAACACTCTCTCAGATATCAGTTGAGTAGCATAATACCTCTTCCACAACTAACTGTGGACAATTTGAGCATGATGGGAGGTTCATTGGATTGAGGTGTGCAGATTCTCCAGCTCTCATTTCTTTCCTTTTGTCTTATCAGCTCAAACTGCATCAAACTGATGCCATAACACTCTCTCAGTCACCCCTTAGAGAAACTCCTTCTTTAATGTGCAGTCACCTTTCAGTGTGATTCTGTTTTATGGAAACCATGCAAAATAACACAAATCTGTGGTCCCATGATATTAATTTCAATTGCTTGTGTACAGAAGAAGCCAATATATCCCAATGATAAATGTCAAATATCTCTATCACGCAGCAGTGCTGGAGCCAAGTGAAAAAGATATGTCTTTTCATATCTTTCGTGGGAGTCTTCCCACATTGATTTAGACACTAAATGGAGGTGCCCTGTTTAAGTACTGAACTCCAGTAGTTTGCTCAGCAGAAAACCCACGGGACTTACTGATGCCTTCCTAAACAGTGTGCCCAGCACCACTCCACAGGGGAAGATTTGGAGGTAAGCCATCAGTACTGACTTTTTAGTACACTATGTGCACCTGCAGCTGCACACACATCCCTGCAAATTAGGTGTGCACCTCCCAGAGCATGCCCTGACATGTGCAACCTGCTTCATTCCTGACTCAGGACAGAGGACTGCAAGGTGAGAAGGACAGAAATGTGAGTGAAGAGTGGGGATTGTCCCAGCTCCCCACCGCACTGGCTGGTGACCTGCTAATGAAATCCCAGACTACCTCAAGCTCCCAGTTCCTTGCTCTCTCTTTTCTTTTGGAATGGGATTGCCACCTTTTCCAGTTTCCACCAAAACGTTTGTTTTCCAGATAAGGGACAAACACATCATCCCAAACACATTCTAGAGGACTAACATATTTTGTGGCAGTGTCTAGACCACTCTGCAACATGTGGTCACCCCAAGACTCAGGTAGGCACCCAAGTTTCATCTAAGTGAATTTCAGCATTATTCTGATGATAAAATGTTCTGCATTTTTTTGCAAGGTATGAACTGGCCCCCAGAACTGGCTTTCCTCAGGGAAACATAGAGCTTTCAAAGGTTATCCAGCAGGACCAAGGCATTAAATCTAAAGAGTGGAACAACACAATTTCTGTGTGAGGGAACTATCAATTTTTTGTACTTGCTCCAGTTCTCACAGGCTATTTCACAGGCTTTTAAACAACAAATTAATATATTCTTGTAACTTCTTGACATAAGGTTAAGTACTGTAGATTCACATTCATTTATGGTCAGATTTTCCCATCTGTGTCTGAAAGTGACATTTTCAAGTTAACTCTTTCATATTCATCAACAGCTATTTAGTTTTTTGAATAGGATCTTTTTCAAACCTAGCTCTTTTCAAATTGTTTATTCTGTTTTTTAGAACTATGAGAAATCAAAACTGAGATTAATTCTAAAAGTCATAGACAAAAAGCCTCTGGCTAGCCATTACTAATTACACTTTTCTTGAAATAGTCTCACCACGCAGTACGTTTAGCAAGACAACATCAAAGCCCAGAAAAGTTCTGCCTTTTGGGGTTTTTATTTTCAACAAAAATATTCCAGTAAGCAACACTAGTTTAGAAACAAATGTGTAGGTCATTTTGCTTTCTCTTCTCTAGTCTTGTATACAAACAATAACATAAAATCATATAGGACTGTCATACAGGAAAAGATTTCTGAGTCATCATATCAGAACCAATAAATTCAGAAGAACAGAAAGTAGCTCTAGAAGGAAATGTTACATTTTCTCCTTTTCTATATGACTGTTTTTGAAAAAGCTGTATATCAGCACTTCAGAATATTACCTGAATAGCATGAATGATTTAAAGTAATAGTTTATTAATTTCAAAGAAAAGATTAGTTATTCTCTGGCCACTATTAACCACAATGTGGCAATCACCATAAAATGCTCTGCCAACAACTGTCAGAATTAATTTTCAAGCCTTCTGCTTTTTCTGATGTTGTGCTGCAGAATGTACTGAGTTTTATTTTCTGCATTTTTTTTCCTACAAGATTTAGACAACCACCATATTTGTATCCATTTTCTTCTGTAACTAACATTCTAGAACGTCTATCAATAGGTTACTATTCTGACACCAAAGCATAATTCCAAAGTAACCTACTGAGGACAAGTTGCTGTCTGTGTCAATCCAAGAAAGAGGCAGACTGTTATATCCTGCAAACTGTAGTAACTTATGCACTTAGTTTTGGAGCCTTAATTACCTCTACAGCAGTGGGACACTAAAGTGACCAAACATACCCACCATCCACTATTCCAGAAAAAGTGAAACAAAATTGTTTTTTCATGCATCAATTTCTCTTGATTGATCTATACATAAATATTCTTACATTTAGAATAATCAGATGCTATTATGGTAAAATAACTGTTTGCTGGGTGATTTGACCAACACAACCTTTATTATTACAGAATATCTTTGCAATTCTGTAGGCATCCACGAAAGCAAAAAAGTCTTGCAAATCACAAAATCCCACTGAACTCCACAGTAAGTATATATGCATATATATATATATATATATATACATATACAGAAAAGGGGAAGCTACAAAGAAAAGTTCAGATTCACTTATAACTATTGACTTTCGGAAAACCTAAAACCCAGTATCAATAATATTCAAGAAATTAGCGTTCAATATTAATTACTAAGTTGTTTTTGGGGAACAACAATCTTCTAGATGCTCTATGATGCATCTCTGCATGGAAGCAAAGTATGTTTAATGTCTTTTCAATGAAATTATTAATGCCAACATGCCATCAGATTACCATCATAACATATCAAATACCTTAATACAATTTGAACAGAGATTACATTTGCTACTTACCTAATTGGGTCTCCTGAATTGTTAGCTTACTCTCCAAGGGATGTAAAAGCTTTGGTGGTTTATCTGTTAGTGGTGCTAGAAAAGAAAGAAATTCACATATATAGTGTTCTGATTATTATTGAGTAGCATACCTATATTGGTTCAGGAAGGTTTTGGTTTTTCTTTTATTTCAATAATATTTGTGCCTTCAGTAGCTGTAAATGTTTTTGCTTAGACAGTAAAATAGCACCTAAATTTAGAATATTTCACATGCTAAGGAATTAAAGGCACTTGTGTTAAAAAAAAATATCTCTTTAAACCCTCACAAAAAACCCCCAACATGCACTGACATTGCAATTTTATATTTTCATAAATGTTATCCAGCACTTCACAGTTTGTTGTTATATTTAATTATGTCTCTATAAAATATAGACATTGACAGAGAAATAAAATAAACTATGCTACTGTAAACCAATTTTGAATAGTTTATGAAAACTTTATTTAAAAAGATATTACCAACACTGAAACTTTGTAAAGTGGAGTACTAGAAAAAGGCTCAGTTTTCAAAATCCAAGGGATGGATACAATAAAATAATGTCAAGAATCCTAATAAGATGGCTTCTTTCCTCCCTTTTGATCTACCCTGAAATACTGGTAGACTTAGGTAAATTGTGGAATAGAAAGTGTTTTGTAGTGGTCAAAAACCTTCTGAAGGTTCTTGAAGTGTGTTCAAACCATGCATCCAAGTAGTGCAGCTATTCTGTTAGATTTATCATCTGTATACTTAATTCATAGAAGTGACATTGATTATTACTAATTTTGTTTCTGTTAGGAAGTGTCCTCTTTACTATCTCTGACAGGTGAGTGTGTGTCATATGAAAAAAAAAGAACAATAATTATTTTTTTTAATACTGATAATAAATATTCACAGGAAAGTTCCAGCTTTTGTAGTCACTTGCAACATTTTGATATTTTACTTTTCAACATTAATTCCTACTTCAGTTTTTAACACAGATTATGGGCTGTCACAGATTTAAAATACATTTGACATTTTGATATAACTCTATAATATTTGTTCCCTTCAACTTGTCAAAATCAATGCTCCTTTTCTTACTGACACACACACATACATATCCATATGTGTATGGGCTTAATCTACTAAACACACTCTGCTGTCAGTGGAGCAGCAGTTGCATTCTCTACACTACGTTTCTTCTGCTCTTTTATTAAATTATCAACTTTCTTTAAAATATACAGCATTAATTTCAACTTTTCAATAATTACAGAGTGAAAACACTATGAACTCATGTTTCTGCTTTACAGAAAATGTCTGGGATATTGACCCATCAGATCTAGCACTGAATCAAAATTCAGGAGTGGGAAAAGAACTTTATTTGATCCATAGGCATCCTTTCAGTTTTTTTCTTCCAACAACAACTTCTATTCTCTATGGGAAATCATTCTCACTGCAGACTTTGGAGAGAATCACAACCCATGTTGTTAATATATGCAGTACATCATTCTTCAACTGAAGTATGAAGTTATAAAATTTTTGCCCAGTTTAATTTTCCCATAACTTGTGAGATTCAAAAAATAATTTAACAAAGAAAATGTTACTGAAAATAATAAATTAGACACATATCTGATATATCATAATCAAGAAGCTAGAAGGATCCTCTGGAAAACAAGTAATCCAATGTTCTGTTGGAAGCAGGTCCAATAGAACAAGTTGTCAGGACCTCCAGTCGTGTTTTGAACATCTCAATGGATGCAGATTTCACCAATTCAGGTGTCCCAGCCCCCAACCACCTTCTGGCCATGCCCTGGACTCAGTCCAGTAAATCCATGCCTTTTTGTAGAGCCCAAAATTTGTCACAGTATTCCAGGTGTGGCCTCACAGATACTAAATAGCTGTGAAGGATCACCCTCACAGATGTGCTAGCTAAATTCCAAGAGCTGTGCAGTTGGCCCTTGCCAACTCATGCTCAGCTTATTGTCCACCTGGGCTAACAGGACCACTGCTGCAAAGCTTTTTCCTACTCAGTCAGCCCCTGGTTCTGCACTGCAGCACCAGTTATTAACCAGGGGTTATTCCACTTCTAGACCAAGACATTGCATTTGCCTTTGCTGGATTCCATGACTTTCTCCAGCTTGTCAAAGCCTCCTGAAAGACCATTCCTGCTCTCTACTTTGTCACCCATTCCTTCCATTTTGCTGAGAGTGCACTCTGTCCCATCATCCAGGAATACATAAAACCTCTAAGCAACAGTAAAACAAATATATACTAGAACTGTGTCATACACTTATTTTAAAGGGAAACTTACCAATATTTCTGGCCAGTAAGAGTTAATACTTTGTAAGACAACACAACTCTAAGATCTCTAAACAGGGGGAAATATCCATATTCCATTGTTGGATTCCTTTTATGTCTATCAACCTCACACTGTTGTGAGTATCTCTTTAATACAAGTAAACACAATTCTCAGGGCTAACTCCTTCCCCTGTCTGGAAAAGTGAAAGTATTCCTAGGTATTCTTCATTCCAGAGTTTGAGACTGTAGAACAATACTGTGAATGTGGGTAATACAATTTTAATAACTTGATGTGCTTAAAATATTTAAGGTGATTTAAAAGTTGTCCTCGGTCAATCAGCACCTTTAGTGTCTGTTATTTAATCTATTTCCTAGCCTGAAAACATATATATGTTCTGGCATATTGACCCCTGTGGCCTGATGCAGAAGTGAGAATTTCTCTATCTGCCTTCTACCTTTCAAGTTCACACTCTCCACAGACAGCAACATTAATGGACACACAGAGTTACTGCAATCCTCATTTAGGTTCAGAAATTCTGGACTAGACCTATGTGTTTTCTATAAACTCTTTCATGTCCTTCAAACCATGTGGAATGACTTCTTCACTGGGTAAACCCACTATTCAAGAGGCTCTTCAAAGCAATAATATTTTCAGATGGAGATATTGAGGCACAGTTAACTACTAAATTGAACAGCAAAACTATAGTTCAAGCTTTTCTTCCTAAATTTTTACTAAGTAACAAGAATCACCCAAAATTTACAAAACTCACAACTTCATCTGGTCTCTTAAACAAGTTGAATAGCTTTTATTCTTTTTTTTTTTTAAATAAATATATGCAGGAAGGTAATAATTTTCATGTCCTACAAAAATATCCACGACTTCAAAGTACTTCCTGTTCTGTACTGCATGCAAAGAACAAGAATTCTTTTGAATATGTTTAAAAATAAAAAGAGAAAATCCTCTTCCCACCAGGTAGTATTTATCAACATGGTTGTCATACAGGAGGAACAGAGTGCTCAGATTCCTATTCTTGAATGAGGGAATTCTCAAGTCTCTTGGCAAGAATCTTAGTTCCTGGATATTATTATCTACTGATGTATGGATTTACTTCTCCCTCTCTCCTCTCTCACTGTCTTTTTTGGTTTTTTGAGATTTTTCTTGCCCTGCTTAAGAGCCAAGAATGTTACCCCAGACAAAGTTAACCAAAAATGATATATTCCTCTCAAAAAAAAAAAAGGGTTTGACAGGTCAGTGCCTTTTAAAAAAAAACTGATCACAAATTAAGTTTATAGCTCATCTTATTTTTGACTTGTGAACCATCACTGATAAGTGATTTGAAATAAATATCTGTCAAACTTGTTTTTTATTAGAAACAAGCTGAAGTTTAAAAAAAAGGGTGAAGTGACTGATTCTGAAGCTTCATTAAAAATTAATATTTAACTTCAGAGACATCACTCAGCTGCAGACATATTGATCCTACTCAGAGAAAAAGTACCTAAATTCACATTCCATGTCTATCAGATTGGATGTACATTTGAAATATATTGAACAATTTGTCTTATGGTAGTGAAACCAGGAGCCACACAATCAGTCACCCAATTGGAAACTAGCCAGAATATAATATTTTTACATCAGCCACCTACTTCCATTCTCCTCTTCCTATGTTGCTGCTTTAGCTTTAGATGCACGTGGTCACATGCTGCATACATATATTTGCTCTATGAAAAACACTGTTATTTGAAGAGACCAGCCACCTCTTAGAATTTGACACACATAATGAAGAAATCTTAGTTCAGACTGTACATCAAAATGGCACTAATCTGGACATCAAAGTGCAACTGCCTCAAACGCACAAGCTTTATAATAGAAAAATGAGAATTCTGTATTTACATCTGTTTTACAAAATGGTCTCATATGTTCCCTTGAAAATAATCACAAACATTTTTAATTTCTTAGAGGAAGACAGGGCTGTGTGGGATTGTCTGCAACTCAGAAAGACAGTTTATTATCTGGATATTTCATTCAAGGGCAAAAATTCAAATGAATAACTGCCTTACTTGGCCAGTCTGAGCTATAAATATTTTAGAACATATCTTATTCAACAATTTTATTGAAGTAAAAATTACTTTTTGAGGATGAAAATTCTTCTGATTTTTCTGATATTTGAGATAATACAATGGGATTAAATCTCTTGTAACTGGTCTACTCTGGACTGATCAACATAACTGGTCTACTCTGACCTCCAATAGGGAGGCCTGGAGACACACCATCTATAACGCAGCTGTCCTCTTTTGAGAAAGCACGTGGGATCACCCTTGAGGAGAAAAGACATCGCAGAAAGAATCGTGCCTTGCAGAATATACCATCTAAGGAGTCTTTCTGCTGTGCCTTTTGCAACCGGACATGCCTGTCTCGTATTGGCCTTTTCAGCCACCAACGCACTTGCAACAAACGTGGGTAGAGTCCTTCCCAAATCTTCGTTCGTGAAGCCCAGCCATGAAATCTCTTGTGTTTATGAACTTAGACCATTTCTAGAAAAAAATACCGACATGCCCCTGGAAGATACAACTATAGCACAGGATTAAATAGGGGGAAGAATTCATTACTTTGTGAAGGCAAAATATTCCTACATTTTGAAATCAAGGGATATCAAAAACATGGATTTCTTTTCTTGAAGTCTACGCTATTTCTTTGAATTCACCACACAGTTCAAAAAGATGCTCCACCTCTTTGCTTGCCTGTAGAAATTTAAGAGAATTCCTCATTCCAGTATACCTTCCTGCT